CCCCCCCCCTCTCTCATGCTTTCACAACCAGAGGAGAACATGACATTCCCACGTCGATTCCTACACTGCAAAGAGGAGTTATCTAGCATTAATTTTCCAAACTCCTCACCTCACGTGTCCTTAAATTAGCGAAGGACACTCAGCGCAGTTGGCAACACGCGGCTGAGGTAGACTGGAGAGTTTCGACTGTGCTGCAGCACAGCAACTTCGGAATCGCGATGATTAGGGGGGGCTTTCAGCTCCAAGGAAAGCGAACCGCGCTCAGGGGAGTGAAATTACTACCCCTAGCCGACAGGCAGTCTGAGCGCGGATAGGTCGCCTCTCGCACTCACTCAGCCGTACGCCGCCGCCGCACGGAGTGGAGCTCCCAGCTCTGCCCTCGCACAAGCCCTTGACCTGGGTCAACCTCTCTGGCGAAAAGGTGACCCATTCGGAAGGGACACGCGGCAAAAAGAAAAACAAACCGTGATTAGTGTGGAACACGGCAGCGTGGCGTCGTGGCAAGGGATTAAGGGGGGAGTTTGGTCAGGAGAGAGAGAGATTCGGTGAGAGGGAGAGGGGGAGGGGAAGGGAGGGGAGGTAGGGTAAGGTATGTGGACTGGAGTAAGGGATGGCTAATTGATCCCAGGCGCGGACTTTTGGGACAATTAACGACGCAGAGAATGTGCTCCGCCGCCGCGTGCTGCCGAGCTGTATTCAATTTAGAACCAACTGCGCAGCCAACGCGCGCACTCCTCTGAGGCGTGAGGGGGTGTTCAGCTAAGAACTCACAAGTGCCAACGCTGAGCGAGCACACCGTGAGACACACGCGTATATGCGGTACAGTACAAGCAAAATGAAGGAAGGGGTCTTGTGGGCCACCCTGAAGGCAAGTTCCAATGTAGAACTGTATTTTACGCATCGTATTTACAACGCCGTTTCATAATCTAATATTAAAAAAAAAACAAAGTGCTGCAAGTTAAGAATAAATATATTGTTCACACTCGCACTCAATCGCGGCCACGCCACTGGCTACTTCCACACACAGCACAGCACACATGCCAATAACTTTGCGGATGTCAGACTGTTTGCTCGCGTCTTGACGGGCGTGTGGGAAAGCATCCGGCGGGGACGGAAGCTTGCTATGCCCGCCTGGGGCGTCGTGACCCTCCACGAGGTGATTAGGGGTGAATTGGTTTGTCATCGCCACCCGGCGGCGGGTCGGGCGAGCGGCATCCGGTGGCGCTAACGGGTGTACCACACGTGTCTCTCAGGCTGCACTAAGCGCTGAGATTAGCTGATAGCTTTCACACGAAACCTCGTGGTTGTAATGGACACCTTTCGCGCGCTTTCCGTGATTTATCGACTCTCAGGGAATAATTATATTTCGTCACCATACAAAAATGTGATGAGATACAAAGTAAGAAAATCACCCAAAAATTGTGACTTTTTATTCGAAAAATTTTGTTGAGTTTACACGGTAATAATTTGATCTGCACGTGTATTATGAAAGTTTTATCGTCAGGAAACGAAACGTGGAAACGAACTAACCAGTTCCACTAATCTCCCTCTCCCGATTAGTTTCAGCGACTTCTGTTGATTTCGATTAACTTTTATCCTGACGATTCCCAGGCAGGTGTGTACTCAAGATTCCCGCGCGTGTTGTTGCCCCCTCGACCTCCACGGCGAGCTGCCTGAAAATTCCGCGCGCTGCCTCTTCTTCGCTGTCGGTCGAGGTTAATGGGGCCCTCCAGCCGCCAGACCACAAGAAGTCCGCAACGCGCCGGAAAAGTTGAGAGCGTCGCGCACCTGAGCCCGCGCCCGCGCTTGCTTCTCTTTGCGCTCTCAGAAAGGAGGGTGTAAAAGCGGTGCAAAGGTTTAAATAACACGAGGGCCCGACCTTAATTTCCGATCAAACCCGGAGCCAATTAGACTGTCGATGCGATCCCCGCCGCTCTTCTCTCCCCTTTACATTTCACGCCTCACAGGGCCAAGCCCTGGCCTCGAGTGGCCGGGCGTGGCGGAGCGTGGCGCCGAGCGTGATCGGCTCTCGAAATCCAACTAACAAAACTTTTTCTCCCCCAGCTGCTGCTCCTTCCTCCACCACCACCACCACCCTCCACCAGCGGCGCTCCGTCTCTCTGTGTCTCTCTCCATTCCATCCATGCCACGCTTTTCCCCTCTTTGTACCTTCCTCCCAGCCATTCCCGTCCCCGCGTCTCCTCATCCGCTGTACGTGCGATTCACAAGAGGACGCACGGCAAACGAGAGACTTGTGGCCACTACGCCTGAGAGGTTGGCGAGGAGAGTAAGAGAGAGGAGAGAAGGACGGCGGGAGGGGGGGGGTGCTGCCCCGCGGCAAGGCACGGATCATAGAGGGACTCCCTCCCACCGCCCGAGAACCACCACCAACTTTTCATTAATTGGAGTGTGATGCTCATGAAAAGACGCGCGCCGAC